TCACTTGTAAGTTTGTCTAGGCATGGACTCTTTGGAAATAGATTCACTGAAAACTTCAGTATCTTTCAGTTATTTCAGGTTATATTTAGGTTTTCTTAAGTCAGTTTGAGTAATTTATATTTTTCTTTTTTTTTTTTTTAGATTTTATTTTTACATAATCTCTACACCCAATGTGGGGCTCAAACTCAAAACCCTGACATCAAGAGTTACGTGCTCCACCATCTGAGCCAGCCAGGCACCCCTACATTTTCCCTTTTCATTGAAAATTTCAAATGTATTAACATCCAGTTGTAGATCACATAATGTTTTGAAACACACATCTCATTTTTTCTGTTTTAGGGAATTTAGCAAAGGTTTTGTCTACTTAGTGGATCTGTTCTCTTTTTCAAAAAACAATCTCTTGGGTTTATTTATAAATTCTACCATTTTTATTTTTTCTGTGACAATTACTCTCTATTGAACTGTAGGCCATCCTAGATCCTTTTGGCTTTCCAGAGCCCAGGTTCAAGTTTTATGGTGTGGCTCTCTTCCTGAAAAGTTGCATATTAGGGACATTTTTATAAACAGAGTGGTATTTTCCATGAATTTGCATTTCCATTTCACAGACACTTTATTTTCATTTTTAAAAACTTGAGTGAGCAGAGGTTAATGTTTCTCTAAATAAACTCTGTAAGCACCGGGAAGCCCCGACATTTAAGCAAGTGTGAACAAATGATTCATTTGAATTGCCATGTCCAATTTCTTTGTTTATATAGTAGATGTTCTGAAAGTGGAATACAATTATAGTTGAACATTTTCACCTTTTACCTTCTGTTTATTCCTAAACTCACCTGTTCTTATCACATCACTAGTCTCAGTTTATAAGGAAAGGAGAGAGCAGCACATTTACAGATTCTTCTTTGTGTTCATAACACACTAACCTCTCATGAGGGGCGGGCTTTGTAATCAGGAGGTAATTTTCCCCACTTGCTTTTGTGACCAGAGGAATTTGGTTGCAAGCCAGCTGGCAACTCTGTAGGGCCCAGTGCGGGGTGGGCGGCCTTGGGGGTGAGTAATGGGGGCTACCCCTGGTCCTGTCTTTGAACAAGTGGCCTTGCCCTTGGAACCATGGGAGGGGCCACCAGGGGTCCTTCAGTTAACGGTCTTTTGTGAAAGGACCCAAGTGCGTAGCCCCTGCGGGAGCCAGGCACTGGGCAGTGTGTCTTGATGGCCAGCATCGATAGTGTGTGTCGGGCTTCATGTTACGGTTCACCCTGTTTCCTCTGTCACCTGTGGCCAGGGTCGTAGGAAACGTTAGAGCTCCTGCTTTCCTACTGGGAATCCAAGATTGCTGGCTTACCCCTTCCTCTCAGGCTTGCACGGGCCTTCTCCTCCTATGTGGACACTGGCCCTCAAGGGAGGGGAGTGTTGGCTTCCAGAGAGTCGATTTTTTTTTTTTTTTTTTTTTTTTAAGATTTTACTTATTTGAGAGAGAGAACCAGAGAGCGAGAGCACGAGGGAGTGGGGTAGAGGGAGAAGCAGGCCTCCTGCTGAGCGGGGAGCCCGATGTGGGGGCTTAATTCCAGGACCCCAGGATCATGACCTGAGCCGAAGGCAGACGCTTAACGTCTGAGCCACCCAGGTGCCCCCAGCCAGAGTCGACTTTCTTAACACCTGCAGTAAACTTATCACAGTGACTTGGGACAGGGCCTGAGCTGGAGGGCATGTGAAGGCAACCCTTTGTGTTAGACCCCACAGCTCCTTACTCCTCCAGCCAGTGCTCCCTGCCATTCTGTCAAACACAAAAGAGCATGCCCAGAGCTTATGGCTTCCTCTCTGCTGGAGTGTTTGCATCTCAGTCTGGGGCACTTCCACCTCTCTCGGGAGCCCCAAGGATTCCCATGCAAATTGCGTGCCTGGTGGCTTGCCTTGATAGACCCCAGAATTCTTTCAGGTGAGTAACAGGTGAGCAGCCTTATTTGGGAGATTTGAAGGCCATTTATATTGTATGTTGCTTTGTATCCTATTTACATATATGATTTGATTTTGCTTGGGCTATTTCTACATCAACTTTTCATTCCCTGAATGGGATTTGGGAGAGCGGAGGAGGGGGGCCCCAGTTCTCAAGAGTTGTCATGGGAAAACCAGCACCTTCTCATCCTTCTATATGACATTTTATATGAATTTTTGAGAGTTGGTTATCATTAAATTCTTTTATCTGGAGAAGCCCATCTTTTCTGCTCCCTCTCTCTACTCATTTACTGCCACAGTCTGCTGTACCCAGCGGCTTCCTAGAGAAATAAAGAATCAGTAGGAGCTGATTGGAATTTTTCAAATGCATAGAAACAGCAGAACATGTGAAGCCATGATTGGGTGTGCTGGTCCTCGGCAGTGGCTCGTGTCAGACGAGGGGGTGTGTGTGTGTCTCCTCCTCTTCCTGATTATTGCCCTCTAATTACCCCCCACCCCACCCCACCCCAGAAATGATTTCCTATCAAAATGTTGAGGGTTAAAGGGGTAGGTTAGTTAGCACTTTTAAGTAAATGGTTTACCACCACAGCTCATTGACATCGATTAAAATGCAAATCCTCTCACTCAGTAGGTAGAATGGGGCTTTGATGTATCCTCTTGTTGGGTGGTGGTTGGAGTGGGGAGAATCAACAGCTGATTTAGTAATGAGGGCTCATCAACAGAAATTGCTTCATTTCTATGCTCTGAGGCAGTTTTGTGGAGCGCTGAATTTTGGGAAATAGAACGAGGGCACCTCGAAGAAAGAGCTGGTTCTGCCTGAGAGTCAGGCCTGTGTGGTGTGGAGAAAATTGCTCAGGCAGAGAAGGCTTCTCTCCGTTTGCAGGGTCCTTTTACTTGAGTGTATGTGAGGTACGATGAAAACTCTTGCCCTGAGTGAGAATATAGGATCTCTAGCTGAAGGGTCTCATCAGAGAAATTCTGAGGGCCGAAGCTCTTTAGGGAAAGATTTCCTACTACAGGTTCTCAACAGCCTTTCTACTCTTATCAACCAGATTCTGTAGCCGGCCTTTCTCCTCTATCAACCAAATTCTATAGCCACGCATTTTCAGCTAACTTAAGACCACTTGAAGACAGTGGATTCCAAAGAGGTTGCGAATGTATGTTGTATAGTATTTGTGTCAAGGAATCAGACAAGGGGGAGTTGTAGAAATTCTCCAAACCTGAGAGAGGATTTTTGGTTTAGAGCTGTGCTGTCCAGTACTGTAGCCATTAGCCGTACCAGCCCTTAAAATGGGGCCACTTCAAATTGAGATGTGCTGTAAGGATAACATGTGTATTGGATTTTGAAGAATTAGTAAGAAAAAGGGATGTAGGGCCCCTGGGTGGCTCAGTTGGTTAAGCGACTGCCTTCGGCTCAGGTCATGATCCCTGGGTCCTGGGATGGAGCCCCACCTTGGGCTCCCTGCTCTGCGGGGGTCCTGCTTCTCCCTCTCCCTGCCACTCCCTCTGCTTGTGCTCTCTCTCTCTCTGTGTCAAATAAATAAATAAAATCTTAAAAAAAAAAAAGAAAAAGGGATGTAAAATGACTCATTCGTAATTGTTTAATACTGATTCCATGTTGAAATAAATAAGATATACTAAAATTTCATCTTTTTTTACTTTTCAAAATTGTGTCTCAGTATTTCCGTTGGGCATCACCAGACAGGATTTCATTTTTCTCCTACCTGCACAGATTCCTTTTTCCCACTAGAGGGGGCTGCATTCTAGTTTCAGGAAGTCTGGTGCTTTCGCATGTAAATTTCACTGCCTCTGTACTCTTTTAAAAAAAAGAAGCAAAAAAGCAAAAAGTTTCTGCTTTGTTTCAGTTCTGCACAATTCTGATGTTTGTGGAGGTTGCTATTTGTATGTAAGCGAAGCCAAAACAGAAGAGGCAAGAGGAAGAGAGGTTTTCCCACCTTCTTTGTGTTAATTTTAGGAGGTTCCTGTTAACTTCTTTGTTGGATTGCAGTAGTTTGCCCTTTGTGGGCTCTTCCCTAGGACTTGAGTCTGTGCACAATTCACGCACACACAACGTGATGTGTGTGCAGCTGTAACAGAAAGAACCAGAGCCCTGCTGCAGTCACACGCCTCCACAGCGCCCCCTGCACTGCGTGGGATGCAGTGGGAATGTGTCCCGGAGCTGGGCCATGTGGCACCCTAGGCCAGTGCTCCCACCCCGCCCTTTGCTGTTGTTCCCAGGGGCATTGTTGCCCATGGTTGGAGGTTGGGGCTCCTCTAGTGTGTGTGTGTGTGACTCTGCCCCTGGATTCTACTGTGAAACCAGCGTCCTTTCAAGATTATGTCTTAATGACTACACACTCTCCTGGTTTTCCTGCAGTCTTTCTGGGTAGTTCCTTTTCAGTTCTTCTGTGGTTTTGTAGGTTTGTTGGTCTGATGAGCACTGGTTTTCCCTTGTTTGTATACTCTGAGCCTTTTGGGGTACCATGAGCCCCAGGCAAAGGCTGCGCCAATCTTGTTTTGTTTCATTCCTGGTATATCACAGTGTGTGCCTGGTTATTGTACACCCTTAAGAAGTATTTGAATATTTTGTTATGCTTTTTGTTTTAAACCAGTTGTATACTTATTACTATTATATGATTTCATTTTATAATCTCGTTAGCATTATGTCCATATCATAGGGCTGTGATCACCATCATTTTGTGGTGTGATCTGTTTAGAATAATTCTTCACCACCTATATAGGTGAGGCATTTGCACTAATTCCCCCCTTGGTTCCTGTTGCTGAAAGCTGTTTCTCTTGATCCCTCCCCGTTTGTGACCCTTATTACAAATTGAAGGGGACGTTTCCACCAGCCCCACTCTGTATTTCCAGGAACTTAGGTCACAGGAAACTGGAGTGGAAGGTCAAGGAGTCTGACGTGTCTCCATGTCTGTAGCTCAGTCCACAGGCAGCTTTTCCAGAACATATTCCAGTTTCTCTTAGTGGTTCTCCTATTAAACCAACCCAGTTTTAAATAAAACTGACTAATGAAACACTGTTTTTCTTGTCAGAACATGAAGAGGAGCTGGATCGACAGTTTGCCCTGGAGATTGGCACTTTATTTGGAGGATTAAAGAAGGTACTTAGTGGATAAATGATAAATCTCAGTTTTCAAACCTGGTTTCAGTATTTTGTCTTACTATTGTATTTGGCTACTGATGAGCTGTGTATTTGTTTTTCTAAGCATTTGGATAGATTTTTTATTTATTATTTATTTTGATAGATTTTTAAAATGATATAAAAACATTGCTTTCTACTGTTTTCACTCTAGGTATTTAGTGTGCCAGATATATTTTAAGTTCAATCAGTGTTTGTGGGCTGGCTTGGGACATAAAATAATGCTTGCATTCCAAGTTCCAAACACCCAACTTACAAATGAGCTTTTGGAAGACCATTCATTTCCAAGCTGGGCACTGCCTATTGCTGATATTTTTCTACTGTGAGAGTTGCAGGTCTTGCTTAGAATTGCAGCAAGTTTACTTCAATTTTCATTTTGATTTTCTAGGGTAATCTGTCCCTTCTTTCCAGCTTTGGCTCTGTATGGAGCCACTGTATTAGATGGAAGGCCCATGTTCTTGTGGGACTGGGAAGAGTGTCCTGCCGTGCATGGGGTGCCATTCCCAGCTTTTGTTGTTCTACCCACCAGAAGTTTCCCTGAAAAGTTGGACGCAAATCGAGTTTTTGTTCATTGCATTCATTTGTAACTGTTTCTGACTTAAACAAGCCCTTTTAGGATATTAGTAAGACTGTAAGGTGGATGGTATTGTGCCCACTTCAGAGATGAGGAAATCTGGGAAACTTCTGTCATGGTGGAATTTGAGATGTAGCAGGAGATAGCCCTAGTGAGTGTCTAAGATCTACTCTTTAGAAATATTTCACTGTTGGATCTCTTACAACAGAAAAAAATGGTGACATCTCTCTCTCTCTTTCCCCCTCTTATAGTTACAATTCAGGCATTTCAGACAATACTGAATTGTTTGCTAGGGACAAAAATAAACAAACCCATTTTGGACTAAGAGACTTCTAGCTCTTGAGAAGAGAAGCCATTGCAAGGCAGGATGAGCAGCTGAACAGAGGGTCAGGCCCCAGCAAGTTCTGGAGCTGCGGCAGATTTCATTGTCAAGGGGCAGGCTCCGTCCTGCTGTGTGTGCCACTTCCAGACAAAGGGGCTTTGTCTTTTCTCACTTCCCAGCTCCTGTCACCACTCCTTCAAGTCTAGCTGCTTGACTCCCTGCCAAGGCTGTAGAGTCCTGGGGAGATGACCTTTGCTAAGCATTCTCCATGATAGACCCTCCCCCCACCCCCATAACAGGGCATGGGTCAGGGGGTGTCAACATTCAGGACAACCCTGCCTTCATGAAAAACTGCATAAAGCACAGATACATGCCCTTGGAGCTCCAAGCCTCAGTCCTTTTCCATTCTGAAAAATCTCTGTCCATGCCTCTGTTTGTCTGACCATCCATCCATTGATCTGGTGCTATTGAGTACCTCTTGTTGTACTCATCTTTCTATATCTCATCCCTTGCAACTGGGGTGGGTAGTTCAGAGTCTTAGAGTTTAGAGGGAAAGTGAGGAGTCCTGGTACATAGTCAGTAGATGAGGGCAATTGATACTGTGTCCTTGGTGAAGATCATAAGACCCAGGGCCACGTGTAGTGTTAGGGAGCTCACAGATACCTGCTGAAAGTCTCATTCCAGCTAATATAGAGGCCTGATACGTTCTGGACACTCCTTGATGTATATTTCCTTTCTTTGAGGTTATGGGAGGTGGTAAGCAAATGCTACCCTGCTCTAAATTCTAATCAAAAGAAGATATTTGGTGAGAGTAGGAATTGTGAACTTTAGAGAAGAGCTTTAATGTTCTCTGACCAGTCCATGCCTTAAATGTTACAGTTGCTAAACTCAGCACTGCTGACATTTTAGACCAGGTAATTCTTTGTTGTGGGGGAGCTGTTCTGTACATTGTAGGACGTTTAGCAGTCTCCCTGGGCTCTGCCTAGTATATGCCAGCAGCAACTACTGACCCAGGTCATGACAATCAAAAATGTCTCCCGGCACTGACAGGTGTCTTTGAGAACAACTGGTCTATCGCAATATTTAGGGGCTCTCCCCAAACAGCCTCTGCCATTTCTGATTTGCCATTTCTTTTGCTCAGCCTGTTTCCTCTTCTGGATTGTTTCTCTCCCCTTCCCTGTCTGGTCCGTATTCCCTCTTCATATCTGAGCCCAGTTAGCTCTCTGTCACAGAAGCATTGCCTGGACCTCTGAGCTGGGTTTAGTGCTCATTGTTCCTGACACTTCCCTGCCTCTCTCTTTATCTCCTTCCACACATAATACTTTTAATGAGTCTGTTTCTGGGCCCAAGTCTGTACTGAGTGTTGGGGACAAAATAGTTACTAGACAGATAAGGTTCCTGTCCCATTGTCTCTTAATGGGGACAGACTGAAGGTAAGTAAATGAACAAACCTAACAGCCACAGATGGAGCTAAATGATGATGATGAAAATATATAGGGTGATGTGATATAATGCTTTGGATTGTGTCTTGTGCCCTATAATGATGAATATATTTGTACAGTTGTATTTTATATTATCCATCCTCCACTAGACTGTGAGTCCCACAGGGACAGGGCTGGGATTTAATCAATCTGGTATCTTTAGTGCCTAGAATAGAAGAGGTGAGTATTTTATTGAATGTAACTGCAGGAAAGAGTGAAGACCACTGTGCCGAGTTGTAACATTGGAGTAAAATGCATCAGTACTAACTGCCTGTAGAGAGATGTGTAGGTAAATGCGGAGTGGGACGGTGTTTATAGTCAGAGCAGGGAGATACCACCGTGGCACAGCCCATCACAAACTGCTTCTGTACAGCTGAGCTACACAGAGTGGTAGGATTGGGCAAGGTCATCAGTAGAGGAGATGTTCCAGAGGGGCTCGCTGTGATTGGAAAAGGGAAGGAGGTGTTAGGGAGATGCTGATCGCGGTGAAGCTTCACTGAGGATAGCGAAGGGGATCTGGGGCTGACCAGTCCTCCAACTTTTGATGATGTTGGAGTTTGGAGGATTATGGCCCAAATCAGGAATGCCTTTGGGCCTGGTAATGTCTTTGGCATGAAGCCGATGGCACTTGCTGAGATGCCCGATGTGGGAGATGGGGAGCTCCTGTTGGTGCAGTTGTCACTGACTGCTCACATCCCATATGCGGGGGCATTTGCATCCTCCTTTGCAGTGTCTGCGCTTCCTGGCTTGGAAGTGCCCCTTCCTGCAGGAACCAGTGGCTTCCTGGAGCAGGTGTGTGCTGGGAGCCTGTGGGTGGCCAGGGATGGGTCCTGCCTGGTCCCTTTCCATTTTGGGCCATTCTCTGTCTTGGTGTTTGGTGGTCCCCTTGTCCCTTTTTTTCGTGCTAGTTTTCTGGCCAGTGGTCCCAGTCGATAAAGGAAACTTTTTAGTGCCATGTGCCTTGCTTGACTGTAGTAAATCGGGACAGGGTCTGAATCAAACTGATAACAAATGAAGCTCTATGTTGGGTTGTACTGTCATGAATTTTTTCCCCTTTTATGATTTCTGATTCAAGGTAGTTGGCATAACGGAAGGAGCACAGGTTTGGAGTTGGATGGGCTTGAGTTCACAATGCAGTTTCCTGCATTTTGGAAAATCCTTTAGCTCCTCCGAGCCTCAGTTTTGTTATCTGGAGCATGGAAAGGGGAGGTTGTGGGGAAAGAGATGCTGGATGGAGAGCACCCAGCCTGTGTGTGCCTGGTGCAGAATGGATGCCCAGAATGTGTTTTTGTGGTGGTGGTTATGTTTTTCCTTGCACGGAAAACATCCTTGTTTCAGAGTTAAGATTTGTTGACTCCCCTTCTCTGGCAAGCAGGTAATGTTCTACAGAGAAACATTTAAATCTAGACGGGGATTGCTACTGAAGGGAGCTCTCAAAAGCTTAATGTCTTACAAAAAATTTTGCATGTAATCCATTCCTCCTCCTTTTCTGAGGACGCTCCTTCCTGCGGCAGATTCTGAAATGGGGGTATCCTCGCAGATAATACGTTCTTCCAGAAGTAGAATCAGAGGGGAATTTTCAGTGCCTGTCACAAGGGTGAGGAAGAAAAGACAAGATCAGAGGAGGGAAGCTTGATCACTTAAGTCTTTGAATGTGAAGAGAAAAGAGGTACTTTTCTAAAGTACAGACCCAGTATTTATTTATTTATTTATTTAAAGATTTTATTTACTTGACAGAGAGAGACATAGGGAACACAAGCAGGGGGAGTGGGAGAGGGAGAAGCAGGCTTCCCACGGAGCAGGGAGCCCGATGTGGGGCTCGATCCTAGGACCCTGGGATCAACACCTGAGCTGAAGGCAGACACCCAACGACTGAGCCACCCAGGCGCCCCGAGACCCAGTATTTAGCACTCAAGTTTCGCCTCTACAGATTTTAAGATTCAGCTCATTTTTTTTAATTCCTCTGTATTTCAATACTTTATTTTATTTTATATTTTTTAAAGATTTTATTTATTTGACGGAGACCCAGCGAGAGAGGGAACATAAGCAGGGGGAGTGGGAGTGGGAGAGGGAGAAGCAGGCTTCCCACTGAGCTGGGAGCCCAGTGCAGGGCTCCATCCCAGGACCCTGGGATCATGACCTGAGCCGAAGGCAGACGCTTAACGACTGAGCCACTCAGGCGCCCCTGTATTTCAATACTTAAAAAAAACAACAAGCTCTGTTTGATTCCCTGAACAAATACTCCTTGAGCACCCACTGTGTGAGAGGCTTCCAGGGGGTGGACTGGGTGCTGGGAGGCCAAGACATTCTGGGCTGTCTCTCTCCTCACTGGGTTCTGGATTTGGGGGAAGATGATGATTGGGCCGTGAGGTGGGTGATGCAACCCTCTGGGGGCCGTGCAGAAGCTGGGGGTGCATATGATTTGGATCCACGGTAATTCCAGCTGTGGTCTGGGGGGAAAGATGGGTGAAGGGCAGAGCATGTATTCGGACCTGGATGAGAGAGAGCAAGAATAGCTTGGCTGGGAGGCTGGGTGTTGGGGGGAGGATGGTACAAGATAGATAGAAGCCGACCACCAAGGCTTT